GGTCCGGTTGCATCAAATTATTCATCTTCTTTATTCTGGAAACGATTCGCTGATCCGGATGCCAATTGAACTCAAGACCTTCTGACCTTGATCGTAGCTACGTTAAGCTTTCTTAAAATATATCAAATCGCATGGAACACATCCACAAACCCTTATCCAAGAAGGAAAGGCCAAAACCTAAAAGTGAATTTCTAAGCCTAATCTCTGGAAGACTTTCCTTTCAATCAACTTTTGTTTCCCTTTTATTGATTCATTCATTAGTTTTTGGTTATTTTGTGCTTGGCTGATCTAAGCAAAATAGCTAGACTTTTGTGCCTCCTTCCTCCCTCCTTTAAAATGCTCCAACCAAATACAAATCTTTAACACCCCATTAACTAGAGGCCGGCTGTTTGATGCTGATCACTCCTATTTTATATGCATTTTTTAATCCATAAAATACTTAAGCAGCCTGGGAATCTTACCCCGTTTGGTTCACGGAACGGATTTGAGGGGAAATCATTTTCCATGTCATTTTTATGAGAAATTGAAGATTCCTTTATCATGTTTGGTAACGTCAGGAAAGTAACCATGATATATAAAGTTACTTTATTTCATTTCCTATATTTATTTTGACTAGGAATGGAAAACAAAGATTGTATAAATTTTGAATTATATCCATATTAAATCAAACAAACCTGAGTTGGAAGAATGACTTCACTTTCCTTCCTACTTTCCCATGTGTCAAACAATTATTTCCCATGCCCGGACTTATCAAACATGGGAAAACAGTTGATTTCTCATTCCCAAGCTTCCTTTCTCATTGATCAAATGAGGTAGTGGGATGAGAATATGATATCTAGGGTTATGAGTACGACATGTGGAGGAGAAAGGAGGCTTGGAAGGGATTGTGGAGGTACTTAGATAATTAGGTTAGTTATTTTTTGTTTAATATTTAGTTATAGTGAATTGATGAAATTGCCTTTCAAAAAATATCACATACAACTTAATTAACCTAAATTTTATCAGAGTTAGACATAGGTGTTTAATTGTAACACTTTATAAAGTTTAGGTGATTAATAGTTAAAATTAAAAGTTCATGTGAACACATACTTAAAAAATTCAAGTGGTATTTATACAAATTTCTCATCCATAAAATACTTAAGCACCCTCTGGATCTTAATCTTATGTGAGCTTTAGCCCCCCAAAAAGAAATTACCTGTAGTGGGATGGGAATCTGATATCTAGGGTTACGGCATGTGTATTTTTAGATGCATCATGTGCTATGTTTTGCCACTTGTTTAGACCACTTTATATCCTGAGCTTATATCTCTTTGGGAAAGAAAAAAAAAGCACAAAAGCATAGTTGATTCTTTCTACTGTTTTGCAGACACAAGGTTTTCAACCCCATATCCTTAGTGACAAAGCAAACATATTTTCTTTATCATTACAACTCGTCACCTTTCTTTTTCACACTTTCTTTTTTTGTCCTTTTTCTTTCCTCACCTTTATTTTCAACACTCTGCTCTCTCTCTCTCTCTCTCTCTCTCTCTCTCTCTCTCCAATGGGTGCTTATATTCACTCCAATTCTATCTGCAATGTTTTAAAGGCATTTCCATTTTATGAATCACATTAAAAATCCAGCTTGGTCTCTGCCTAGATTCCCAGAAACACTTCACATAATCATGGCCAATGCAGCTTCTAAGTGCCTCTTCTTGTTCTTCATGTCTCTTCTCTCTAGCTGTTCATCAGGTAAGTAAAAACTATTACTTATACTTTTTGATCTTTTGCTTTTCTGAAACCATGGTTCTCTTTATGAACATCACACTAATTAATGTGAAGTTGGATCTACATTTTTAATATTCTGATCAGGTTATTGTTCTAAATTGGGTTAAAACTAGTTACAGCTAAAATACAAGATAAAAGTAGTTTGAAGTTTCTGTCTTTTTGTTTTTTCACATCTTACAGGAACTCTGGTGGGTTTCTCATATCATGCAAGTGGAAACACTACAACTTCATCACCTAGTAGAACCATATCGTTCTTGAAGCAAAACAAGATCACCGCATCTCAGATTCGAGTCTTCGTTGAAAATCCTAGGATTTTAAGTACTCTGCCCAACACTGATGTTGCTGTTGATCTCTACTTGAATGAAAATATGATAAGTTCCAAATCTTCCTCAATCTCATGGCTGAAAACCCATGTAATTCCCTTTCTCTCACAAGCAAACATCAAAAGCAGCATAGTAATTAGTGGCAGTGACTATGCAAGAAAATCTAGTCTACCTACGCTTTTATCCACCCTGAAATACATGCACTCAGCAGTCCTTGTCAGTCTTCCTTCTGACAGAAGAATTAAGGTCTCAGTAGCATTTTCTTTGACATCTCTTGAGAATTTGAGAAGAGGACATGAAAGAGATCTGCATAGGATTTGTACTTATATCAATGAAGTGAGATCTCCAGTCATTGTAGAAGCCAATATTGATGGAGAATTGAGTATGGGTGATAGGTTTGTTCAGTCAGTGATTGAGAGAGCCAGCCTTGCAAATTCTGTTCTTCCTTGTAATGATGTCCCCATGGTTTTGACAATCAAAAGTCCAGCAGCTCCCAGTGCATGTGAAGTAGCCGAATTCTCTGTTAAGGTTTTGAAAGCTTTAGAAAGCAACACTCAGATTACAGGTAGGTTAGTTGGGTTATATGCAGAAGTAGCTTCCATGGATGATTTTGCACGGAAAGAGCTCAAAAGGGAAGAGGAACAGATTTTTCCTTCTTCTAGGAGAGAACTCTTAAGCAGTTTCCATCTGAAAACAACTTCACATGACACATTTAACACACCAACAGTCTTCCCTACAACTCCCATATCAACACCACCACTGCCTACCACCCCTCCATATAACCCCACACCAACCATTGTCACTGTCCCTGCTACAAACCCGGTAACAGTAACTCCAGTAAATCCTGCCGCGCCGGTGGAAGTTCCCTCCACCACACCCGTCACCATACCCCCCACAAATTCAGTGAGCTCACCAGTTACCAATCCAGCCACAACCCCCATCACACCAGTCACCATACCCCCGACAAATCCTGTGACAACTTACCCGCCACCATCTGGAGGCGTTCCAGTCACAACACCTGTCACAAACCCAGTCTCACCTCCTGCAACAACTAATAATACTCCTGCAGTTCCAGGACAGAGCTGGTGTGTGGCCAAGAGTGGAGCACAGCAAACAGCACTGCAGGCAGGATTGGACTATGCATGTGGAATGGGAGGCGCAGACTGTTCACAGATCCAACAGGGTGGAAGCTGTTACAATCCAAATTCTCTTCAAAATCATGCCTCATATGCATTCAACAGCTATTATCAGAAGAATCCGGTGTCAACTAGCTGTGACTTCGGAGGGGTTGCCACAATAGTTAATGCTAATCCAAGTATGATCATAAATTTTTGTTTCTTCCATATGATTTAATACATGCTATACGCTAAACAATCATCTAAACCATATAAGTATATCTGTATATATCTGACTCTCCTGAAATTTTGAACAGGCACTGGTTCCTGCATTTACCAATCATCATCATCATCCTCAACCCCAACAACTCCAAATCCAGCATCAACAACTCCAACACCCACATCAACAATTCCACCACCAACATCAACAACTCCACCATCAACTTCAACAACTCCACCACCAGCAATAACATCAATTCCACCACCTGGGGAAGGTGTATCAGGGTATAGTGTTCTGTCTCATGACTTTCAATCTCTATACTATATTTACCAGTTTATCACTAACTTCATCTCTACTTGCAGCTCCGGTACTCCACCTTCGGTGTTGAACTCGAGCAACCCGGCTTCAGGATCCATGCCAGAGTTTGGGAGTGACAGCCCTCCTGGTTTTAACACAACAACATCCACTTCAGCTAGTTTGCGACCGTCTGTTGGTTGCGTCTTTTTGGTAACAACCTTAGTTACTAGAAAAATTGTTCTTACCATGTAAAAATATGACCTCTCATGTAAATTAACGGGTGATCAGATTCCTCAGAAGCACATTTTCTCACGACGAATCACGGTTGTACATAACTGCATATGCAAGCAAAGAAAGCTAGAGGAAACATGATAGTTAGTTACTGTCTTGCATTAGCTTTGGGATGTAGAGATGGTTGTGGGTGAAGTGAAGGTAAGCTTCTCCACATCTAAACCTGAGCTGGGAGGAAAAAACAATTTTACTCTGAGGTTGAGAGGTGCAATAGAGATTTGTGACCCTGTATCTCTTTTAGTTGGGTATTGTAGGTCTGTGTACCGTGCTCATACTATTAGAAATAGAGTTCATATTGCTCTTCTATCTAGATATTTAGTAAAGTTGCATGAACAGAAATTTATGCTATCTATTGGAGTCAACTTCACTCGTCTGATCTGCACTAAGGCAACTGGCAGGGTAATGATTTTCGAGACATAATATCCCTGAATGGACTGATTTTACTTTCACAGTTCTTATCATCATTACATATGGAGCTAAATTCCACATTAATTGTATCCGGATCAAGATCTTCTGATCATCATGATGTTCGATCCATGCCCATCATTATCATTACTAGACAAGTAATAATCATCAAACTTTATGCATATTTGTAGTGTCATCGTTTAGCATTTCAAGCTTTTTTCTTTTTATATTTTGTGGTCGAAGTTTAGCATTTCAAGCTAAAACCCATATACTAATTTCGAATCTAAATTACTAAAATACCATGCATACAAAGTAATCGTCAGCCTAAGTTCCATTTGCTACCTTCCCAAGTTTCCACCTTTTACAAATTGGGTTGGATCAATAAATTAGATTATAGTTAATTAAACTGAAAATCCACACAAAATCTGGCCTTTCCTTCTCGCATTTTGACTGGAGGAGATGCTTGGAGTTAGAATACAACACCATCTAAGATTTGGTTGCTTAACTATTGGGTTGGAGATCAGTGGCCAAATTGAATACTCCATTGTCCTTTTTCATTCATTTACGCATGTCACGAATTGAAGGTTCCCTACTAGAAAAGTTGAACATTAATTAACATGTCAAAAAGAAAAGTCTCCTATAAAATTATAAATAAGGAAATAAATCCAATACAACATTGTTGGCAAATACAGTATAGCCAAAATGCCATACATGGATTCAATTTCCATACACTAATGTGGATTTAACAAGAAAAACAAAATTGCATTCTCGGATATTGTTACACGATAAGAACCTCTACAATGAGCATTTCTACTGTGGCCTATGCACTATTTCTAATTCCTTGACTAAAAACTAAAGATTCATGTTCTTTATACATCAACAGCTCGATAGTGCAACTATTTCATCGCTTTGAGAACACCACCAAGATCAACATGGACATGGACACCGCAATTTTGAAACCAGAGCTTTCCCAGAAACTTTGGCTTTCAGAGGCTGAAGCTCCACCGCCACCCCGCTGTAACTGATCTCTGAGCTCTTTCAAAGCTTTGTCTCTTCGCTCACCCATCTGTCACAATGAATATGTTCTTATTCTAGTTCAATATATAGTTACAGTGAAAAATTGATTGATAAGGACCTAATTGTTGCTACATGAACACCAACACCGGCCCGTGTAATTGCTTAAAGCTCTGCTATGACCATTTGCAGGCACAAGGTTTGAACTAAAATGCAACTTCAATAACACAAACAGAGTAAAACAAAAGGTTAGTGATTACCCTTTGAAGCTTTCGTGTTTGAGAACGAGCTTCCTGGAGACAAAACTCTAATTTCAATACCCTCTTTTTCAGTTCCTGATCTGCTCGCCGTTGTTTCTCCAACTGTTCCCAGAAACAGGTTGAAGTTCAATAAAAAAATTTATTATTAAGGACTTTATACAAGCAAACTGGGGACAAAGAAAGCATATGATGAATGTACCTGTGATTCAAACTCCTTAGTTTTGAGCTTCCAATGAGCAGACATTACCCTGATTTCATCTCTCAACTTTGCTATTTCTTCATCCTTCGCAACTAAAAGCTTATTAATCTTCTCAATATTCTTTGGTGAAACCTCATCTAATATTTTCCTCAGCTCACAGTCCTTGTTCACCCCTGCTTTTGCAACAGCTTGCATAATGTCATGCTCAATTCTCAAAACTTCATCTTTCAGTTGCTTCTGGGAAAACTCTCGTGCCTGAAGGTCCTTCTGCAGATTATCTAATTGCTCTCCTAGCCTAATTACACGATCATCTTGCTCTTTTAATGAGCAATTCTTTTCATCTAATTCCTTCAAAAGTGCTGAACACTGAAGGTGTGCCGACTGAGCTGATGCAGCACTAGCATCTGCAGTTGCCCGAGTGGTTGCAAGCTGTGATCTCAGACCATCCAATTCCGTGAGGTACTGCAGTCACATTAACAACACCATAGTCAGGGAAAATTGTACACCAATACAGTTCACAACCCTAACTACCAGAACTATGCTCTGCAAGCAGTTACCTTGCTAATTACTAACTAATTAGATATTTCAAAGACAGTAGCTACTGTGTATGCTCCAAAATACAAACATATCACACTTGTCTATTGGTTAAAAACTCATAAAAGTAAAATAATAAAATTTCTTAATACTCCAACAATTACCCAAATCTTTTTGAACAAATGGTAACAAGCAAAACAAGCTCCTGCATACAGTTATTTTAATTTAAAACAAAATGCACTTGTCTTCATTTTGTTTAATACACATCATCCCTTTAAACTCCAATTTACTTTAGATATTAACCTTCCACATATCTCACAATGGTATTCTTCACTTCTTTATGTCTAGTCACAAATTGAAATCCAAGTTGAAATTGGTTTTCTGCCTTCAGGACAACAGTTATATGTTGCATCTTCTGTTTATAAATGCAACTATTATGCGCCTACCTACGTGTACATTTGCAGAAACTTGAAAAAGAAATTAGTTGATCTCCTAAGTTTTGAAGACAATTCTATCATTTTATTCAGGCTAAACTATTTAATGTGTTGATATGGGGAATAACACTAATTTAGCTTCTTTTAATCTGAACCCATTAGGACTTAATGCATACAAGGAAAAAGAAATAAAGGTTTAGGGGGAAGTAGATGGTTATGAGAAGCAAATTTTAATCCCATTTGTTTCTCATTCAGAATTTATCATTCCATATAATCACTCAAAACTTCTATTGGGAAAACAGTAAAGAAACCCTAAACTTGGCAACTCCTTAATGCGAGGTCATGTATGTAACAAAGGTTGCACAAAGTTTAATCTTGAGACTTATGTGGAAGAATTAACATCATTGGTTGTTTACTACAGTTCCCAAAAGTTTGAACTGTTAGGAGGGTGCACTCCCTCACTTTCCTAGCTTTCCTAGCAAAAATTACTTGAATTGTTCAAGCAACCAAAAAGAGGGAAACAATTATATACAATCCATAAGACCTGGTCACCTTTTCTCCTATGGGCTCCGCCAAAAACAAAGAGGAAAAGCCAAAAGGCATCCCCAATGATGTGTATGAGATGTGCGTCTTGTTTGATAATTTCAAAACAGCAAGATGCAATAAAAACAACTAATAAAAGACCTCATCAACTTAGGAAAGAAAAGCTAACAACTGTAATTAGTTAATCATGTCATAAGTGAGAAGATCTACCCAAAGGAAAATGATAATTTTTTCTAGCCAGAAAATTAAAAAAGCTAATGAAAAATTATACATAATCAAGAACTAGGATGTGAGTGGGACCTTCTCAGCAGTAGATGCTGAAGCCTCAAGCTTCTCATTTCTATGTTCCAATCTCTTCTGCAATCTACCAATCTCCTCTTCCAAGTTTTTAGCCTTCATCTGTGCTTCCTGTAAAAATCCCCAAAAAGCACTTAGAATTGTATAAACAAAACCAAAATGACCCCACAAACACAAACACCCAAAAAAAGAGAAATGCTAGATTTCAAGACTCAAACCATGTCATATAAAATACAAAAAGAGCCTAAAGTTATTAAATCAACAACAACTTGCCTGTCTTGTAAGTGTTTCTTTTACAAATGATTGCTCTTGAGAAGCTAAGCGGTTCCGAGCCTCCTTCAACTCCGATGCTAAAGACACCACGTTCCGCCGAAAGCTCTGCTTTTTCTCGTTCAAATCTTTTAACAATGGATCAAACTCTTGGACCGACATCGATGACAATGAAGAGGAGGAAGAAGAAGGAGAGCAGGGCAGTGATTTCTCCGAAATTGACATAATAAATTCCAAATCTTTTTAGCCAAGTGAGATTGATGGTGAAGATCCGTATGGCGTGAATACAGTGAATAAAGTCGTAAGGGCCCAAAGATCAGAGGTTGGTCCTTACAGTGAAAGCTATTAACTTCATAGCTGCATGTGAAAGCGGTGGTTGTGCATTAAATTTTCATGGCCTTCAAGAAATGAAATTTAAAGAATGATTATTTAAATAAATTGTAACTTTAAAAACACTGTAAATGGTTTGACGGATTCAACTTTAAAAAAATGAAAATTCATGCCAATTTTTTTTTTAATGAACAGTTCTACCAACATCATTTTCTCGAGATAATCCAATCCAAGATAATTGCACATATTTTTGAAATTTTGTCATGCAAATAATACAGCTCCTCAGAACGTCAACCCAACCATTATGAAGAGAGAGAAAGATGAAGGAAGTGGTAGAGAGAGAAGCATGCCTAAGGTGCGTCAACCTCAACCAATAAATAATATTGAGTTAATAAGAGAGAGAGGCATCAACTGGGTCTACTGAATTTAAAGAAATCTGAACTGATAAGTCTCAAATTTGAAGCTCATACCCAGAAAAATAAAGTAAAACAAAATTCACCATTCAAAAAGTTTAAGTTAATTTGAGTTTACAACCGACCCACATATCAAATTTCGCAGGAAAAAAGAAAGCACAAACAAAACCTTAAAAAGTTCCAGTCTTTTTCAATAAACTAGAACTCCTAACCTCTACATGCAAATAGGTCTGCAAGTAAGTTCCTAAAAATCCCAAAAACAGATCCAAAGACACTAAGAAAACTGCAACTCTTACCAGTCACCAGCATCAACAACATGAGATCACAAAGAAATGTTTTTTTATCCCAGCAGAAACACACAGAGGAGAGAGAGAGAGAGAGAGAGAGAGAGAGAGAGAGAGAGACCAGGTGCTGAGTCACAGACCCAGTTTGAACAAAGAGCTGCTGAGCAAAACCCACTTGGGAATCTCTTTGTCTTCTTCCCAACATATGACAGACAGACAGATAGACCTCAATCAAATACTAATACTCTGTTTCAGCCCAACAACAGAGAAGGTAACACAATCGGACGGCGGTGAATCAGCTTTCGGGCATCATCCAAGGGCTCAAAATGGAAACCAACTTAGCACCAATAAACCCATGAAATTAGGGTAATTGATAGTAGGATTTTCTTTACAAAATTATAAATTTTTTGTCTTTATTCAGTGGAAGTTGCTGCATTTAAGCGAAATATCGACGCCCTGATTGCTTTGGTTCGGAGCTTCCGAGCCTCGGGTTCGTAAATATGACGATTCTCGAAGCTATCGCTTGGTCCTCCTTTGTTTTCAGTTTGACCCACAGCGCGGCAAATCCAAATTTTCGACACCACCAATGGAGTCTTGACACGTTGGCCCTATTTGGACCATTTTTGGATCTTCCTGTTTTAAACAATGACGGGCTGGTTCGCTTATTAAACGGGCCTGCTTTTGGGCTCTATCTACTTGTCTTTGTTTTTATTTTATTTTTTCGGTTGACTAGTAGTTTGAAATATATTTTTCCACACAAATTTAAATGATCAATTTTCTTTTTAAATGATCACTTTATATATATATATATATATTATATAAGTGATATTGGGGTAAGGGAATCGAATCTAGGACTTCGAGTGCATAAATAAATGTTCTTAACTACGTGAGCTACAAACCCATTACAGTTCATTTTATATTTCAGCCCATAATAATGATATTAAACTCTCCATAAAGAACTTCATCTGAAATTAAAAAACTCAAATTTATGAACTTAAATAAAGACCATAACAAATATAACAAATAATAATTTTTTTTTCCCTAAACATTAGTTAAAACAAAAGGTCAAAGATTACGAGGCCAGTCAAACACTAATTTGAGAAGTGCTGAAAATTACAAGAAAACAAATTTATTGGAAACATATTATATGATGAAGAAGATCAAAAAAAAATTTTGATAAACAAAAGTAGACCAAAATGGACCAAGCTCACCAAAGTAGTCTCAAGACAAGCCCAAGTAGCTTTGCCCTAGACAAGCTCCCGAGGCCCAAAATTCTCAAGTCAATTATCAGTCCGAAGGCCCAAGAGGCCCAAGAGGCCCAAGTCACTTCTCAGAGAAACAAAACTCTCTGCACTTCTTCACGGCAGAACCAAGAAGTTCACTGAGTTGACACAACCTGGTTACTTCGCTCTCTCTCTCTTTCTAAAATCCTAAGATGTCAATTTTTCATGTCATTCTCTGCCTTCAGTGTTGTACTTCATTTCTCAGGTCAGTGATCAATCTTTCGTTAATTCTCTTTTACATATAAACTTCTTGTTTTACCGGAGGAAATAGCACAAACTGTTCATGAACTCTTGCAATGCTGGTAAAGCTCCAGCCTTTGACATTTTCCAAGAGAATCCCTTTCTGGGTCTGCTCAGGTGCATGCATTTCTTCAGCTTCATGTGCTAAAACCGTTGAATGTTTCCCGGGAAACAATCAAGACCCACCAAATTCATCCGACTTTGAACAAAATATCCAGTCTTTGAGGAATAAGCTTGTTCCTGATAACTTAATACGGGTTTTAGATAACACTGATGATTTGGGCTCAGCAGTGAAGGTATTCAAATGGGCTTCCCTCCAAAGACGGTTTAACCACACCGCAGATACATATTATCGGATCATTCTGAAACTGGGTTTAGCTGGAAAGGTTGAGGAAATGGAAGGGTTTTGTCAAAATATGGTGAAAGATAAATGCCCAGGTGTTGAAGAGGCTCTTTTGGCATTGGTTGATATGTTTGTTAAACATTGTAGGCAAAGTGAGGCAATAAGGGTACTTGTGAATATGAAGGCAGGTGGCTATAGGCCCCCAATTGAGACATTTAATGCTGTATTGGGCTCTCTTGTGGAGGATAAGAGAGATTTTCAAGATGTCTTGTTTGTCTATAAGGAGATGGTGACGGCAGGGATCTTACCAACTATTGAAACTTTGAATTATTTGTTAGAGGCATTGTTGGAGACCGACCACATTGAGTCTGCTTTGGGTCAGTATAGGAGAATGAAGAAGAAAGGGTGTAGCCCTAATGGTAGGACCTTTGAGATACTCATAAAGGCTCTTATTGCAAAAGGTAGAGTGGATGAAGGTGTTATTGTTTTAAGTGAAATGCCTGAACTTGGTTGTCAGCCTGATTTGAGTTTTTATTCCACCCTAATACCTTTGTTTTGTCAGAATAATAGACCTGAGGAGGGAATCAGACTGTTCGAAATGATGAGAGCTTCCAATTTTATGCCGGATTCATTGATTTGTGGGGTTCTGTTACAGTGTTTATGCAAGAACCTTTGTTTAAATGATGCGATAAAGGTTCTAGAAGATATGATGGAAACTGGATTGACACCAGCTAATGATGCGTTTGCGGACGTAGTAAATGTGTTCTGTAAATTAGGGAAGATAGATGATGCTATGAAGTTCTTGGAAGATAAGCATATCCTAGAAACTTCTGCCTGCAATGTATTGCTTGAAGGTTGCTGCAGTGCTGGTAAATTTCTTATGGCAAAAGACCTACTTGTGAAAATGTCTGAAAGTGATGTAGCTGATTGTAATTCGTGGAATATCCTTATCAGATGGCTTTGCGAGAATTCCAGGATTAGTGTAGCGTTTGAAATTCTAGGTAGAATGGTGGTGTCTTCTTCTCTTCCTGACTGTGCCACATACTCAGCTCTAGTTATTGGAAACTGCAAAATGAGCAACTACAGAAATGCTCTGGATTTATTTCATCACGTCCGTGCCAAAAGCTGGGTTTTGGATCCTACATCTTACTCTGAGCTTGTCAAAGGCCTTTGCCTGGTGGAAATGACTCATGAGGCCACTGAAGTGTTCTGTTACATGTCTAGTAATAGGTGCTCTATCCGGTCTTCCTCGTTCAATATGTTGATCAAGGGTGTATGTGAGACAGGAAAGGTTGATGAAGCAATAAGGCTACAAAAATTGGCCTATTATTCTGGTACTTCTTCTACCAGTTCAACTTACTCAGCTATTATGCTTGGATTGTCAAAATTAGACAAGGCAAAAGATCTGCTAGTAGTTCTCTCAAAAATGTTGGTGGAGGGTTCCAATCTTGATCTGGATGCATATTGCATACTCATACAAAGCATGAGTCTGCAGAATCGAGTAAAAGAATGCCTATTGCTTTTCCGTATGATGGTCAACAAGGGTCTTATACCTGATTCAGAGAGACTATTTAATCTACTGTCTTGTATAGCCAACCTTTCTCAGCTGCACGTGATTTCAGATTCAATTGATAAGCTTGCTTCTAGTAGCAAAGCTCTGAATTCAGCAATTTATAATGTACTGATTAACGGCCTCTGGAAAGAGGGTTATAAACTTGAGGCCTGTCGATTGTTGGATATAATGTTGGAAAAGGGTTGGGTCCCAGATGCTAAGACTCATGGATTGCTTATTGGTTCTGCTGTTAGCCAAGAAGTAGATTGGAACGTGTTGGACTATGATAATTGTACTGTCCAAGATACTGTTAGCAACATCCTTGCAGAGGGATTAGATGTGGCATGAATCATGATACTTCTGTCCCAATAATCAATTCATGACCCGTTCGTCGCTCAACTATCTTGGTGAAGTGTGCTTTTGTTACATGTTCACTATTGAAGATTTTGTCTCCAAAATCAATCACAGCTGAGCTAGTTTGTAGCTATGGTGCCTAGTGCAGTGGATCGGGGGTATGATTGTTGCCTACCCTGTTCAATAGTTTTCTTCACCTTCACGTACCATGCGCATTGATCTCTTGTACAGATTCTAACCCTCAACCAAGACCAAGAAAGGTTCGTTGTTATACATATATGTTCCTGCAGCTTCAAATGTAATTCTTTGTCTATGAAATCCCTGTGGAATTTTTATTGTAAACTGTTTCTATATCTCTGAATTAACTTTATACATGTTTCAGCAAAAAATCCTTCAAAAAGTAATGGATGCGGAAGACAGAATGCAAATCAGTGATGTCCTATTTGAGCTAGCTGCCTGGGGAAGCTTTATGTAATCAAAAGAAATTGAAGCCACTTCAAATGTAGAAGATTGCCAAGTCAGAACCAAGCATCCCTAATGAGACTTGTACGGACCTCACTTGTTGTGCGGTACTTTACTCCTAGGCAAGAAGGGTCAAGAATGAAATGATAGACAAACTGGGGTGAAGGTTGGGATCGAAGATTCAAGCAGGGCAGCTTTTCCCTGTGCAAGTGGTTCATGAACCCTCCTTGTTTTGCTTTTAGTAATATAAGTTTGAACTGATAAAAGACATATAACAGAAGTGTAAGGAGGAAATTGATAAGTGTCAGTCTGCAGATAGACTTTTCAGAAATTTCCTCCTTTTAAAAAAATAAAAATAAAAATTCTTGTTGGCTCAAAATTAGCTTAATTTTCTTTTGTTATTTATTGGTTGGTTGGTTGGATGGATATCTCTTTTAGTTGTTTTATTCTATTTCATTGTGTAATTTTTTCCTAAGGTTAATTTTAATGTTGGTTGATTGATTGTATTTTTTTCCCAAATTAGTTGCCTTCAAATGACTCAGTCAATGTCAATTAACACCAGTCTTATCAGAGTTCGCTTAAAAATAGCAGTCAGAGGGAAAAGGCTTTGTAACTTCTAGTATTGTGTTACCAAAAACAAACTACTAAACTAAATGCAGTTAAGATCAGTTCTATTTCTTGTTGCAGGCGCTGTTGAGCCTCAAATACACGCACACATATTAAAGGAGAGAAAACTAAATAAGAACAAGCAATTTGTGCCATCATCTCTTCTTATGTCATGAATTCCTAATGGATGAAGATCAGAAAGAGGGGAATGAAATTCTTAGCAACATGATAGTGATCGGGGTCTCCTTTGTGGTTATCGCTGCAGTTGTGGTGCTTGTCGTGGTGGATGTAGATAGCCCCAAGAAGACTATAGAACACCCGATGAACAACACAGGCATCCACATGAGCCTTGACAACATTTGTGGCAGAACTGATTACAGGGGACTTAGCCAAGACACTCTTAGTCCGGTTGGCAACAAAGCTGATGTGGTAAAATATTTTACAGCGGCTATCAAATCAACCCTTGCGGCAATGAAAAATGGGGCACACAATAAGCCAAAAGGTGATGATAACCAAAATGGAGAACTTGGTTGCTTTGGACTGATAGACTTGGGGATTGGCCAGCTTGAATCTGTGTTAGCCGTTCGATCAGAGGACTGTTTGGGAGAAAGTCAGCTGATGTTAAGGGCAGCCTGAATGCCTCATACCAACAGAGATGCCTTCGACAATTGCCTCCTACAAAAGCCAAACCAGTTCTTCTTGATCAAGCGTTGAAGAAGCCCATTGAGCTTGCAAGAAATGCATTATGCATGGTACATAGCCGATGAGTACTTTGCAAGAGACGTCAAAAGGGCTAACAGCTTACACAAGCTTTTATAGAATTCAGGGAGGGAGGCAATGACATGCGCTTGAACGTTCACCCAATATGCGTTCTAGCTAGGCTGCACACAGATTCTTTCATGTACCTTAATCCCAAGAAATCCAAAACAAAACTGATTCGTTTTTAAAATTCCTGTTGGCCTATTTTCTTCTTTCATATCATATAAACATTAATCAGTCACTTGGTATGATTGGTCAGACCCACCAAGTTGCCATTTTTTATAAGAGCGGTGGCCACTGCTTTCTGGTGTGGTTACCGGAGAGTGGCCTTGGGGTTTCTTGGGGTCGATCCAAATGTTCGTGTTGACACATAATCATCATATAAATAAAGTCCACAGATCACATGTTGGCCTACAATTTGGTACCACTCTCCAGCTTTCTCAGTCAATCCACATAATCTAACATTTGCAACTTTACAAAGGGAACCAGTGCACCGTGGTTTTGTGATCGATTTCCCCTTTTCAGTATCGCTTGTATATTGGAATTTTAAATTAAAAAAAAGGGAAGCAGAATGTTACACATGGAGAACTTGTATTCAATAAATACAAGCTCAAGTCAGCTGCTTTTATCATTCGTCAACTGACCAAAAGGATAATTTACAAGAGAGAGGACCAAAACTACTTAGATTTTGGCATCTATTCATGCCATTCCAACTTCCATGGACCTTCAAGTAACTCTAAGAACATGCTGCTCCTACTACCAATGTTATAGTCATCACACGTTACACTAAGTCAAACTAGCAAATAACCAAGTTAGCAATACAACTACCAAAGAGGAATGATAATTACAACTACATACGTCAGGTTCCATGGCTTGGATATTTTAAACTAAGGAACAGGTCCCATTCTGTCTCTGAGGTTCCACTAGTCTGGTACAGATAGTGATGCCCTTGCCTTTGTCCTCTGATGCAATCCTATTAGGGAAAATTTAAAAAAAAAAAAAGCAAATTCAATTATTAAGGTATATTTATGCTAAAATACATGTCAGCCAAAAATACATTGAACCTAAAAAAGAAATGTAATCCTTAAAGCCTCATTAGCAGCCAGGGAACTCTATTTGAGACATCAAAACAAAAGCTGGTGCTGGCGCAAATTCAAACAAATGCAAGACTATACAAAGAAGCCATACCTACAATGCACTTGAATACTAATGCGCAGCCACCACGTATACTCATCAATAAACCAGTAAAAACATGGACGCATCGGAACAACATGTTTCTTTTGACAACTATCAAAATTGAGACGTAAACTGGGTAAAGCATTGAACATTATTCACAAAAAAGGTTGATACTTACAACGTCTAATACTCTACAATAACTCTTTGCAAGTGGACTTGTTGTGCCCAAGACCCTTGCATCTGCTGCACTGGAGTTGACGCTTAGACATCTCTTGTGGTCCATATTTCTTTGTAGTAGGCCGGCCGGGTGGACGGCGGGTGGGAGGAGGGGTTACGGTCACTGCTAGCTGAGAAGAAGCCTTCACCACAGGCATGTCTACATTCGGAACAGGATGTATTGACTCTGAGTATGTCAGTCTGTAGCTCTCGGTGGTAAAGTATCTTGAACAATAATCATACGGGCTCCGGCCCATACAACCAATGACTGCAATTGCATGGCAGCATGGTAACCCAGTTATCTGCCACCCTCTACAACTACAGTCCCAGCGATCAACATCAACAACTTCAGTGGAGTCACCACGAACCTCAAAAGTGTTACCAACCAAAAGTAGCACTTGGAGGTTTCGGACTTTCTGAGTTTCCTTATCTAGCTTTTCCTCCATGGATGGAGTCAGCCTTGTCAACCATTGATTAGATTCTGCCCTTCTTGTGTAGATCAACTCCATAATCTTACCCCTGATCACATCAACCATCTGTGTTATTGGTAACTCATGTGCATCTGATGCCCAACTATAGAACAGCTCTCCAAAGTTGGATGCCATATGGTTATATCTAGCACCTTGAAAGAACGCATTTGCCCAGTTCTGGGGCTCACTTTGTACGATCCAATTGTAAGCCTCCAGTGAGATACTTTTAATGCTTTCAAGACAACTTTGGAAGTTTTCAGGCCTAGGTGCATAAGCAGCAGCATAAAGATCCTCAACCATGAGTCGCTTCACCTCATGAGAAAACTGCCCTTTCAAGTCTCTGATAAGTTGCTCGGTTAAGTATCGCAGGCAATAGCCATGGTATGAGTCTTTGAATATATCAGCAATTGATTCTTTTAATCCCTTCTGCCTGTCTGCCACAAATGTTATAGGGCAAGTTATTGAGAATGCAGATTTTAGTTGTAGTAAAAACCAATGCCAGTTATCATCAGTTTCTGCATCAACCACAGTGAAAGCAACAGGGAAAACCCCATCATTCCCATCTGCAGCTGTTGCCGCCAACAATGTGCCTTGATATTTTGATTTCAAGGGTATGCTATCAAGGAAAAGGAGAGGCCTGCAACCTTGCTGGAAACCATACAATGAGGCATGGAATGAGACAAATAGGCGATGGAAACTGGAGTCTTCCTTAGTCGTAAAAGTAGCAAGACTACCCGGGTTTGTCTCCATTATCTTGTCACAGAAGAACGGTAACTGGTTATATGCCTCTTTGTATGAACCTTGAAGCTGCTCCTTCGCTATTTCTTTCCCACGCCAGGCCTGAAAGTAGTTTAGCTGTATTCCATATTCCTGCTTGATGTCATTCACAATATCCTTGGGCTTATAATTGGGTAAGAATTTTAACTTCTCCTTAATTATACTTGCCACCCAACTCCTTGTTGCCTGATGCCCCGTAGTTGCAACAGCCCCTTCGCATGTATGTGTTGGATTCATCTTCTTGATACATATTAACTGAGTGGTTGATAACCTTGATGCATGAATTCTCCAAGGGCAGCCTTCAGCCTTGCACTTGACAGTCACACGGTGACTATCATTCTTCTTATACCTAAAGGCAAACTGATGTGCAATGGCATATTTACGCAACGATTCACGAAATTCATGAACACTGCTGAATCTTTGGCCCACACCTGTAATAGCATTCTGCCATTGCTGTGCACCTTTAGCATGCTTCTCATCGTTGTGGCCAAGAAGAGGGAAAATGGGTGATATTTCATTGGGTATATCAATATGTGCATCAATAGGGCTGGCATCATCTACAATATCAAGAGAGGCATCGAGTGGGATATCGGGCTGGGTGGTATCGCCCACAAAGTCCACAACATCGAGAGATGCATCAACTGGAACCACAGTTTCTGATAGAGTTGTTCTGCTCGACCTAAAAAAATCCATGAAATTCTGAAATTTCACCAAAAAGAAAATTTCCAAAACAGTAGTTAAATACTAGCATGCATATCAAGAGAACTACCTACTGGCAGGCATGTTGGAGACATCAGGAGCAACTATTTCTTCTATGACATAAATATCAACTGTTGCAAAATCACTGTGGAATTTGATCATGCGCTTGAGATCCTTGTCATTGGAAACAGTAATCAGGGTCTTCTTGTTGCCAGGGAGGAAGTATTTGATGGACATATTGTCGTTGCTGCAACTAAACATTTCAGTCACCTCTGTTTTAAACTCGTTAAACGTCATCTGGTCATCAATGTCAATTGCATGAGCATCACCGCCCCTATATGACAATGTACCATCTTTCTCAGTCAAGAATTCCCCCCCTGACTGACAAATTGCTATGATTTTCTTCCCCTCCATGATCTGTCTCAATCAAACACAACAAGCACATTTGTATCAAATCATCATAACAGAATCAGTAAGCAATAGATATTATCTACAGTACATTTTGTCTGTTAACTGTGCACAATTTCATAAACAGGAGTGCCTCTCTCACCAGACATCACGTCACTTCATATTACAGCAATAGGGGGAAAAGTACTAGTTTAACTTCAGATTTCATTGCTAAGTAATTTAATTGAGCTTAAACTGAACACATCAATGCATACTAA